TCCTTAATCTCCTCCGACGTTCCCCTCTCATTCAACGACAATTTTAGCTTTGAGAAAAAACAAAATTCCGCTCAGGGCTAAATTTGGTCTTTAAGAAAGTTATAAGGATTGGTGGCTAACATCGTTGGATGATCCGAGGTTTTATCAGAAATCACACCTGGTGCGTTAAGAAAAGGCAGGTAGATTGTCATGATGAATGCGACAGTCACATAGTACACGGGCTTACACAATGCAATCTCACTGACAATTGGATAATCCCACGTGAAAGAGTCTGTTCACGCATGTGTAGGTTGCTAAGTTGCATCTAGGCCGTGCAACCTAGACTTTTATTCTATATGCACTTGGTCCCTTCAGGACATGTGTTATCACGGCCCTCTACAACCTCCTATCATTGATTACGCGCTCTCATTCTGAACAGAATTTTTATTAATGAGAAAGTGGCAATAATCTGTTGGCTGGATTATTGTGATTAAGTAAATTCATTATTCCGCATAATTTACAAACTAGTACTTCGATTTTTCTAATACAATGTTTCGACCGATGTTTTGTTTGGTCATCGTCATGTATGTTGCAACCGGTGTTTTTTTGTAGTTTTTTTTTTTTTTTTTTGGTTTGTTTTTTTTTTCTTTACAGTTGCGAGAACACACGTGAAGTAATCAGTTTAAAGAAAATACAACGATTTACGTTTTCGGCCGATAATTGAAACCAAAATGCGTTAAACTGAATCGTTTATTCATTAAGTGTGTATTGATCTGTTAATCTTAATCTATCTCTAACCTTTCTCAAGCTTAGTGCACTCCCACTTCCTCTATTGAACGGGATCAGGGGTTTATCTTTTGTTTATCTCTTTGTTTCCTGTTTAGGACTGGGTTTCCGGTTCCTTCTAAAGTCTTCTCATTCTCTTTTCACTCCCAATAACCCCTCGCGTCTTAGTGGCATTATCGCCTTCCTTAAAGTGAAACGATTAGAAAGAAACAAAATTACTGATGAGTCGAGCTTGAAAGACAATGCAACATGGCTGTGTGCGCAGAGACATGAAAATCTTATTACTGCGCATAAAAAGTTATTTTGTCAGACATCGATTGTTTTAGGCTAGTTTCCTTATTTTTGTTGCATTTATCACGACGTTTCAACTGCTGTGTCCCCCGACCTTCTTCTTGATAGAATTCCCGAGATAAGATGCTGTTATCTTATATTGATTCTTTTGGGCCAGAAGAGAAATAGGTCAGTATAAGAGGAGAAATTAGAGGAGAAATAGGTCAGTATAATTAACAACTGAAACTGTAGCACTTGACTCACTCCAGATGATACCAGAATAGACTTTGCACTCAGTGTTGTACCAGACCATTAAAGAAGCCAAGTGCATCAGCGACTTAACTTGAAAGATAACCACTTACCCGCCAGGTGCAGATTCGCGCTTCACCTAGTTTCAGTAGCTGCTCCCGACAGCTTATCGCGCGGTCAACCCAGCTACGCCTAGGCTATACACGCGTGAGAAAAAAACTGTCATGTGCTACCTATTGAGGTCGGGTGCCGTATATTCCTTGGACGGTCAATCGCTTCTTTTTGAAGGTGGGTAGCAATGGCCAGAACATAAAGCGTGCTTCTCATCGTCTCCAGACCACAGCTCAACAGGCATCGAATTGGATCTGGTCAAGACCCAAAACAAATAAAGTTAAATAAAACCATGCTCGCAGCACAATGCTTCCGACGGGAAACACACCTGTTTACCTTCCATTCTACGTCATGATTAATGGTGGCTGCGAGTGTGTTGTGCACTTTAACACAACGTTGAAAATATTAGTTGCAGTTGTAAAAACAAATCGCAAGAGACTGACACGTATACAAAAACAATACCCTGTCCGGTAGCAAATGCTGCTGGTGGCGTCAAAGGTGGCAGTACGGCCATGGCCACCCAAACTGTGTTACCTTCCCTGGTTGGCGGCTGTACGTTTTATGTAAGGAAGTGAATAACAAGACTTTCTGAAAAATAAGCTGACTCTTGGGAAAGACGAAATGACACCTCGGAAAGACGAAGTGACCCCTGCATCCATAAGGCACGCTGGTGCGAGCAACGCAGTTCCCCTATTGGAGAATGTAAGTTGAATGATGGGATTCAGTCAGTTATGTGCCATGCGTGAGACACGCTTAGGCGATCATTTATCTTTCGATACATGACTGACGAAGCAGATTTTTTCCCGCAGTAGGTTGCTATTTCTTTCTGCCAAGAATATAGAACCCGGTCTGTGCTGCTGTTTACCCATAGCTGCGGGCGGGAGAAGAATAGGATCCATATCTTTCCTAAAGGTATTATCACGTAAGTGAATGTAATGGATTCGACTGGGATTCGAACTCGGCTCTCCGATTCCTCAATCCGAGCCTCCCTGGTGGGATTATGAATCCGGATTACACCGACAATATTCAGGATCCCATTGTTGAGCATCAGCACCCTGGAGAAATTCCAAGCAAACCCCAAGAATCAGAGAGTTGGTCAAATCTTGATCAGGAACAATAACCTTAAACCTCTCTAAAAGGCAATCCAGCAGATCCGTCGGAAGAAAAACGTCGACAGTCTCTCGGGGTCATTTTACAATAATCCATACGCTTTTGCTAAAAAGCTGTTCAGTTTCGAGCAAGCTATTGCGCGGAGTAATCAAGAGGCCAGTATTCGGTCCTTCCGTGATGTCGACATTCATACCGCCTAAGCGGACCCAAGATGTTACACTAAGAGCAGCTGGAGAATACACTTAATGCATTCACCAACTAAAATCACCGAGGGAGAAAATACCCATACGACGAATGATGGAATTGCCAAAAATCTCGAGGAAGGGAAAAAATGCCCTATCGGCCGCCTGATGATTGCGCACAATCGCGTGCATGAAACTAGCAGTTGTGACTATATATATATATATATATATATATATATATATATATATATATATATATATATATAGTAGATGCCCAGTTTGTTTATTAAACATATTTATTTTCGTTTACCGGTTCAAGGAATATTACTAAAGAAAAATATGTACTCCTAGATCGGCCAAGTTATTCATAGCTTTGTCGGTCTCGATCATGTCAGTTCTAACGACAGTTCCCCCTGCCCAGGGGTACGAGGGTTCGTATTCTGTCGGAAAGCACATACTTTTCTGTTAATAAGATTTCTTGAACATGCATGCCGGTAGACGAAAATAAATAAATATACTATTTGATGAATAAACGAAGCGTCTACTCAGAGACAAGTATTCACTAAAAATAATGATTAAAGTGATGAAATATGTCGGATTTCTCCTTTAAAAATAAAACATATATATATATATATTTTTAATGCATATATTATGTTCTACTAGCGAAGTGATTTCGCCATTAATCGCATTAATATTGCTGATTGATTCTATGTATGATTATTTCTTTATATATAAAATATATGCTGCTTAATCTTATATGTTTATAAAAAACAATTGATCCCGCAGTATGAAATTCCTGAGAAAAAAACTACTAAGACATATCACTATATTAATTGAACTATATACTTAGTTCATGCCATGTTAACTGAAAAACACTTGTAAAAAAAGAATTCGTGGATTTACCATATTACAAAATTCATATAAAAATTCTCACTTGAAATTTTGAACTTTAGCGTTGCGATTAGCACGTTCCGATATTGTACAACCGTCAATAAATAGCACATTCTTAAAAAAAAAAACGTCTTTCGGTCTACAAACTATTATTCCGTCTTCAAGTTTTAACTTTAAAGGAAAAAATTACGGCCTGATGATGAAGAAATGGATCTTCGAAAGTACTTGCTTAACTTAAAAAAATATACACTAGAAACAACAAGCGAAGTGATTTCGCCATTAATCGCATTAATATTGCTGATTGATTCTATGTATGATTATTTCTTTATATATCATATATATATATATATATATAATTTTTTTTAGAAAAAGTGTAAATTCCCATATCTACGCACTGTCGCATAGCCAGATATCTTGACAAAAAATATGTTAACTCTACTTTCTAATAATCTCTATATCTTTATTTAAATCTGCATTTGAAAATCGTTACAGAATGCGTAGGTTGACCCAGAATAGCAAACTACTGGTCACAAGACACCGTAGGCATGGAATTCTGACAGTGATGAATTGTCGTTGTTTAAGTTTTTGATGTAAGACCGAAGGCAATGAGACGTCTACAAGAATTGGAAGATCAAGATACCTCCTGCTCCTAGATTCCTTATTGAGGCAAACTAGCACGTGGCGATGAGATTTTGGCCAGCCTATTGACATGGGTTCACCCGACTATCTCACTCTCGCTTCATCCTAAAAATAATTCTACTGCTACTGTCCTTAAGATAATTAACAGAGAGAAATAAAAGAAATTTGTCTGTCGTTGATCCAATCTATAATGTAACGTTGAAGTCTGAAAACAGAGACGACAAAAAAACGCAACAAAATCTTTATTAATTTATTGACTCGAAATAAAATAAACTTAATATATTTCATGGAGCACTCGGGGATAATGAAACTCACCTTTAATATGTAGGAATATTTACTCGCCAACAACTATACTACATCAAGCTCGTGTATGTATGTCCTTACTGACATGTGTGTGTGTGTTTCGAATGTCTTTCTGCGTCGCAAAGGCTTGTAATTCTTTTTATTATTATTATTATTGGATCTATTCTTTCTTCTATTCAGTATTGATCGATATTTTCCAAAATTATGGCAGATATGTTGGATGATCCGGTCAGGCATAAACTAGAGCATTAAGTGGTCGGATCGGTTGATGAGGAATATGCTTATGATGATGATGAGGAGGAGGAAGATGCTGCTGCTGATGATGATGATGATGATCATGATGATGATGGAGAAGTAGTGTAAGGAGAAAGGCACTTATTGTGGCGGCGATAGTGATGATGAAAAGAATGAAACAAAGAAAGATAAAGAGAATGAAAAAGAATACGAATAAATGAAAAAGGATGAAAAAAAAGAAGAACGTTAACGAAAAGAAAAGGAGTAGAACAGCAAATAAAGGATGCGAACGAAAAAAAAAGGGTATGTGAAAGAAAGATGAATGTCAAAGGAAGAAGAAAATGAATAAAAGAAAAATGAATAGAATGTGAAAGAAAATGCGAAAGAAAGAAAAGGGATTCCAAGAAAAAGAACGTTAACGAAAGAAAAAGGTGGAGAACGCAAAAGAAGGATGTGAATGAAAAAAAAATGTGTCAATGAAAAACGAATCTCAACGGAAGAAGAAAATAAACAAAAGAAAAATGAATAGAATGTGAAAGAAAAATGCGAAAGAAAGAAAAAGAACGCCAAAAAGAACGTTAACGAAAGAAAAAGCTGGACAATACGAAAGAAAGATGTGAACGAAAAAAATAATCAACAGAAGAAGAAAATGAAGAAAATAAAATTGAATAGAATGTGAAAGAAGAATACGAAAGAAAGAAAAAAGACGCAAAAAACATTAACGAAAGAAACGGAAGAGAATTCGAAAGAAGTATGTAAACGGAAGTTGAATTTCAGTGAACGAAAAATATGAACGAAAGAGGTAGTGAAAGAAGAATGCAAGCGGAAAAAATAGAATGTGGAAGGAGATGAATGTGATCGAAAGAATGCGAATGAAAAACGGAAAGAAGGAGAACATATTCAAGACAGAATTTTCTAAAAAAAATATCTATTTACACTATTTACATCGTTCGGACATCGTTCGTTGTCCTCACCGTTATTGCCATATTCACGATGTTTCGGCTACTGTAGGCTCCGGCCTTCTTCAGGTGATATACGTTGGAATTTCGAACCGAATTTAGTCCATGGGAGTAGACTGTTCGAATTCCACGTGCCATGACTGTTTTTTTTTTTGTTGTTTTTTTTTAAATCTCAGTATCAGATTATTCCCTTTAATAACTCAACTCCGCAAGGACGCATTGCTCGGTGAATAAAAACGTTGATTAAATTTCCGAGGCGAATATCTCGTTTATGTTCGAAAACACGAGATTTTACGGACCTACATGTTTCACCCACATATTTTAAGTCACAGTTGTTGCATGAGATTTGGTAGATGCAAGCATCAGATCTAATATGTTGTTTGCTGGTGTTATTTAATAAATTACGGATAGTTCTAGTAGGTAATATTGTAGTTTTGATTTTTAACGCATTTAAATTATTGTTCGGTCAAATGGTTATTTGGTAGAAAGATGCGACCAAAAGAATTATCAGGGGCAGCTGAAAGGGTGCCTTTCACTGATGTAGTTGTAGTAGTGGCCTTCGAGGTGTCATTTTGCGCCGATGAATGAATTTTCAACGCTTTATTCTTAGCTCTCAGTAATAATTGTCTCGGATACGAAAGATTTGAAAAGGTATCCTCAATATACCTGAATTCATCATTTAAGTATTTTGCTGAACAGATACGAAGAGCCCTTAAGTACAATCCAATAATAATACCCCTCTTAGTGTTAGTATCATAGTGAGAGTAAAAGTGTAAATAGTCGTTTTTACATGTGGGTTTACGATATACTTTGAATTCTAATTTATTATTATTTTTAATGAGTAGTATGTCTAAAAAAGGTAAAGAATTATTAGACTCAAGTTCATAGTTTTCACAACATCGCCCACGTGACGACGACGTGATCATATTTAAACGGAATGCTGATCTTATAAAAGATTGCAGTTATCTGTTTGGATTGGTATTGCTTTTAGGTCCATCGTCTTTTTCATGTTGAATTGTAGATGGTCTATGTTAATTATGTTTTATGAATATGTCCTGAAGATGGTCTATTAGACCGAAACGTCCGACGTTGACATTAAACATTAAAACAGTATAATCGCATATTAGGATTTTTGTTAGGATATATATATATATATATATAGATATATATATATATATATATATATATATATATATATATATATATATACAATCCATATATATTAGACAGCCAGAGGGAAAATGGTCTGTCACTGGGTGGACTGGAAGATCATTTATAGAGACTCAGACATTGGCACGCAACCGCGACATATGGAGTATGCTGGTCTGATGCTCGGTCATGGGACTTATGATGATAATGATGATGATCTCTCTCTCTCTCTCTCTCTCTCTATATATATATATATATATATATATATATATATATATATATATAAAAAAATAGCTGGCTACCGTCTACTAGGGCTGCTATCCAATCCCTATTGTAGACGCTCGCTCAGGCACATATGTGTTTGCTCAACACCCATAGTGCCAACCTGTGGCTTATACTGCAACTATGCTGAGTAGACCTTAGTTACAGTTTCTGGGAGAGAGCGTGTGATCTAGCATGCTCAGCAATTTGAACAAGGCCAGTACGTTCACTCCCTCGGCCACAATGACTTGTGGCTTCGTGCTAACACAACTATCGACGGCTTCCAAGTGTTCCGTCTACCCAATTTCACTCACAAGGCTTGGGTCAACCCGTAGTATACTTTTCAGGCACTTTCCAAAGGTACCGCACGCTGGGATCGTTCCCCCCTCCAGACCGATAACATCAGGAAGTCTCCTTCTTGCCAAATCAACCATGGTGAGATTCATATATTGTTAACAGAGAGCTTCAGGGGAAGCATCAGATTAGTAAAGTCAAATTACTGTTTTTAACTTTACTAAACCAGATGCTTCCTCTGTTGCAAAATGGCGTCAGGCTAAATGATGATCCCGTGTAGGATACATGTTCGATTCCCGTCGGAGGACACGAAATTTCTCGGACATTCAGGCCGGTAGATGTAATTAGTACTGTTTATTATAAACAGAGTTTTAAATAACTGTATCTATAAAAAATAACGTATAAACAGAAAACATATTAATATACATGTGTGTTTGTGTGTATATATATATATATATATATATATATATATATATATATATATATATATATCCGATGCAATGAGAACGAAAGTAATATATAAATTCCAACGTTCACAGAATTAATTCAAAAGAGGGCTCGATACCGATAGTAGAGCAATAATTATTTATTATAATTTTATCATATAGACAAAAACAGTTTACTCATTACAAAGATACTTAGGACGCTTGTGTGATGATGTGCCTAAACTTTTGACCGTTGTTATCGACAAGGAATCCTCCCAGACTAGCCAGCATTCAAAAGACCCATCCATTCTTCACCAAACTGCTATCAACAAGCACTTTTGTTTCACTCCGTCACTTTTTATTTTATGTATATATTTTTTCTCAAACAAATGGGAAAAAAGGAAGTGACGTTTTACATACGGCTTGCTTACAAGCAGAATTGTTCATAACCACTTTTGGTTCTCACCAGTTGAGGTGCAATTGAAATGCACCGAAACGAAGTTGCATCTTTAGTAGTGAGTAAACTGTTTTTTATATATATATATAAAATTATATATATATATATATATATCAAGTATATAATTGGTATATACGGAATGAATTCCAATAACCAACAATTACTGTTCTCGGGGCGATATAATGGTTGCCAAGCTTGGCTCACTAGATCAATTGCGACTGGGTAGTGAGTTCGTTCCTCACTGGGTGCCCCCTAATTTCGGCTTTGTGCCACTGTATATATGTGTGTATATATATATATATATATATATATATATATATATATATATATATATGTGCGTGTGTGTGTGTGTGCATGTGTGTGTATATATGTATATATCTGTATGTGTCCTATTTTATTGTGTATGTAAATTTATATTTACGTATATTTCTGTTTGTATGAATGGGTTTATATATGTATGTTAGGGTATATGTATATTGGTGTGTGCAGGTATTTGGATGTATGTTTATGTATGTATATGTATGTACGTTTATATATGTATTTGGTTGAATGTTGTTGTATTTATATGTATGTACGTATATATTGGTACTTGTTATTTTAGATAGATATATTTATGTATATGTTTATAGGTAGATATGTATGTATGTGTATATATATGTACGTTTGTGGGTGTATGTGTGTGTGTTGACACCTATTATATATGAGATTGTTTGTGTGTATGTGTAGGTATGGAAACTTTGGTATGTCATTAGTGCCACAGTAGTTAGTCTATGTCTGGATATATGTTCATATATGTATTGGTGCATGTATTTATATTGGTGCATATATTTATATATGTGAGTATGTGTGCATAAATGTGTGTATATATGTATGTATATATGTTTATATGTATGTATGTGTATGTGTACTTGCTATCATAGATATGTATATGTGCGTATATGTTTATGTTTATATATTTATATCTACGTATTTCTGTGTGTGTATATGTATGTATATATATGTATATGTATGTATGTATGTATATGTGTGTTAATTTGTGTTTGCTGCCGCGTGTATATATGTGTATATATGTATATAGGTATGACAGTACACTTATTTCTGTAGGTTTTTTATCCTGTTTTTCTTCGCCTAAAATATAATGAAACTATTATCAACTTATATGATTAAAATATATTTTTATTGATATTTGTGGTTTTGGAATTTTCGTTTTAATATATTAAATAATATTATTTTTATCTTTGTATATTTGCTAGCTTAAGTTATATTTTAATAAGTGGTTAACATTTATTTAATGATACTTTAAGTCTTAAATATTTATTGGTTGCGGTATCTGATTGTCTAGGTCATTGTGGATGTGTGTACATGTATTTATCGGTGTCTATGTGTATGGAGAATGCATTCACATTTATTTGTGTGTGTGTGTGTGTGTATATAGGTGTTGGTTTCCCCGTTTCCTTCTTCCATAAAGGGCTGTGGACATGTTCCTGTCTCGTTGCTTTTTTGTGTGTATATATATCTAAATATGTCTGAGTACTTATGTATTATAATCTGATTGTGTTTTTGTTGTTTTGCGCGTGAGTTTAAGACTACATTCACACACTTAGTATTATAAAATATATATACATGTATTGCCAAATGACCGGATATTGTAGCGTCTTGTCGAACGTAATTTCAACGAAGAAATAAATTGAATAACATATGTATTTTTTCTTTTCTCAATAATTTTATAGTTTTTAAACTTAGTAGTGATTAAATTTGGATTTTAAAATTGGCAGTTTTTAATTTTAATATCAAATTTTATAATATAATTTTATGGTTAGTTTAAATTCTTTTTAATATTAAATATTACCCGTATTTTAAAGATCTGAATAGCTATTATAATATGATTTCGTTGTCAAGCTTTTGAGTCTTCCTATACTTGGATTTTGATTGGTCGTTCTAGCTTTTGTAACAATGTTTTCCCCTAGTGAATGATCGTTAATTAATTTGAAACTTTTAAAACCATTTATTTTATCTTTAACATCATCACTTGATAAGACACCGAGGGTGTTGAAACAAAATGGCTATTTTTGTAGTGATTTTATAACATATTTATGTTATAAATTTTTTTAATATATATATATATATATATATATATATCAAAAGAATATTGTGTTATTGAACGAGAAAATGTGAAAAATCCAAGCAACACATTCAGCCTTTAAAAGAAATTTCACCAGACTAGAATAATGCTCTTATTGATGGACTCTGTTATAATTATGCGCTGAGAGAGAATGCTAAAGATGTAGGTGCGCTAAATGTGATGTGTCTAGACGCATAGCTTAGCCGATCTCATTTGATTTCCCATTACTTTTGTTTTTGTTTTTGTCGCTTTTGTTTTAAATATCCGACTCTACGACAAAAGAAGATTTGTTAGGAAACGTGAAGTTCCCCAATCTCACCTTTCTTGAAAGAATTACTACTTTTCCAAACCGACATACACGACCACAAAAATCTTTAAAAATAAAAAGAAAACTGTTAAATCCATTTTGGGAGATGTACAACACATACGTCCATCTCAAACTATAACAATCTCATCACAATTTAAGCCATATTCATTTATTTAAAAAATAATAATAAAATAAAAGATCTCTTGAATATTATACATTTAATTCTGCCTTATCAGATTTTGAATGATGGCATTTTGATGATCGCAAAAGAGTGAAACCCAGAGTCACAGTCATATATATGCAACTTATTATATATATATATATATATATATATATATATGTAGTGCTGGATTCTTACGACTTTTTCAAAGTATAACGTATGTTGTCCTAAGAGATCAGTTTTTAGAACTGAACGGTTAGACTACTCACACATGTGATTTGATTTTAGTGTTGAAGTCTTCTGTAGAAGCGGTCACACTTTGGAGGTAAACTGCTAACACATGGCCACGAAGTTTTCAAAGAGCCTTTCACTGGTTTTAATTCAGAATTTTCGTTCTTCTAGATTGATCGCCAACCATGATTACAGAGCTTAATTTGCCTACTATTTAACCCATAGCTTGGAGTAAGAAATGAATACATACTTTTCCTAGGGGTATTTGTGCAAAATGAAGGAAACACATCGACCGTAATTTAAAAACGGCATGATGATCTCATTTTGGGCACCGTTAACCCTAGGCTATGCGCTCTGTGGGTAGGTAGGTAGGTAGGTAGGTAGGTACGTACGTACGTACGTACGTACGCAGGGCAGTTTCTACCAGATTTAAGGAAGGAAAATATAAATCAGATAGATAGATAGATATGATCAGAATGAGATAGATAGATAGATTGATATGATCAGAATTAGATAGATATGATCAGAATTAGATAGATAGATAGATAGATAGATCAGTTCTGTAACAGATTGAAAGAAGTGGAATCTATATATACCTATATAGATCGATATGAACAGACTGATTAGGATGGATATGCAGGTATAAATAGCCTCAGATCAGGTCTGCAGAATAAAAGAATGTGAAGGGCCACATTGATCGCAGAAAATTAGCTGCGGGTCGCAAGCGTTCATTTTTAGAGGAAATTAGTGAGTATGAGTCAGATAGAAACAGATTTATATAGAGGCGGATGGCGAGACAATGTTGTCTTTTTCTACAGACAGTTAAAAGTGATTAATTAGATACAGAGACAGTGAAATATTGGTTAATAAAGTCATGCTTCCAAAAAAAAGAATTTTTCGTACACGATTAGTCGCTGAATTTATTCTTATGAACACAAAATATTTACTATTTTGAAAAAAGCCCTCGCGAGTCAAACTGTTTAGTATTTTGTGCGGGCCTGTCTTAGATAGATAGATAGAGAGAGAGAGAGAGAGAGAGAGAGAGAGAGAGAGAGATGATCAGAATAAATTAGATAGATAGATATGAACATACCGAGAGATACAGATAGACATAAACAGACTGAGAGATATAGCTAGATATGAACAAATAGATAGATAGATAGATAGATAGATAGATGTGAACAGACTGATAGATAAAGAGAGAGAAATGATCAGAATAAGATAGATAGATAGATAGATAGATAGATAGATCAGAATGAGATAGATAGATATGATCAGAATGAGATAGATAGATAGATAGATAGATAGATAGAATATAGATGTGATACATGAATGATAGATGAACAGACAGATAGATATGATCAGAATAAGATAGATAAGATAGATAGATAGATAGATAGATCAGAATGAGATAGATAGATATGATCAGAATGAGGTAGATAGATAGATAGATAGATAGATAGATAGATGTGAACAGAATGATAGATAAAGAGACAGAGATATGATCAGAATAAGATAGATAGATAGATAGATAGATCAGAATGAGATAGATAGATAGATATGATCAGAATGAGATAGATAGATAGATAGATCAGAATGAGATAGATAGATAGATATGATCAGAATGAGATAGATAGATAGATAGATAGATAGATAGATATGATCAGAATGAGATAGATAGATAGATAGATAGATAGATAGATAGATAGATAGATAGATAGGAATTTCTATTACAAGAATTCTCATTTTCTGCCGCACTTACCGATTAATAATTTTTTGCTCCTGATTTTTTCTTGCTTCACTGATCCGTATCAATGCCGTCAGGCAGAAATTAATCTTACGTATTTCTTGATTTAAACATTTTCTTTGTCTTTGCCACGATGCCCCATATCTTTTTTCTACCCAACTCCCTCCATGACCACCACTCTCTTTCTCGTCTCATATATTCAGCTTTTCTTTCTCCTCGAAGAAATCGTTTCCTTTTTCTCTCTTTTTTCTCTTTTTTTTTTTTTTTTTTTTTTTTTTGAGGGGGTTTGTCTTCTTTATCTTGGTCTATTGTAATTCCTCACCTATTTGGTTAGCACTTTCTGTAAATATCTATTATCTATATCTGGATGAATAAGCATTTACATTCTGCATACGCGTAACTCTCTCTCTCTCTCTCATATATATATATATATATATATATATATATATATATATATATATATATATATATATATATGAGTATATATGTGTGTGTGTGTGTTTGATGCTTACACAGAAGGTTTACAAAATTGGTGTCATGAATGGCTGCAGTTTTACATTGGAACATTTGTCAAAAATGTATTCTGTCCTTGTTGTGACTTGACTTAATGTACCGGTGTATTCAAAAACTTACACTGTTTGACAACCCATAAAAAGAATGACTTTTCAATAATAATAATAATAATAACCCAAAATGTAGGATCTGCGGCAAATATGTTGACCATATTATCTCAGAATCTACGCAAAAAATGAATATACCCACAGACAACAAGGTAGCGACATATTGTGCACTGGAAGATATGCAAGAAGCACAAAATCGAAACCACTGAGAGATGGTATGAGCACCAACCAGACACAGTTACCCAAAATAACGATGTAACTATCCTCTGGGACATGCCAATTCAAACTGACAGGGAAATAAAAACCAACAGACCTGTTATTATCATAAAAAGAGAAGAAATTCTGGAAGTGTATGCTTATTGACATAGCATTACCATCTGTGCGAAACACCTCCATAAAAATTATCGAAAAATTGTCTAAATACAGGGACCTGGAGATCGATATTAACAGGATGTGGGAAATGAAGACTGAGAATGTACCAATAGTAATCGGAGCACTGGGCCTCATGAGAAGAGGAATGGACAGTCTTACTAAGTATCTAAGGTAACATCAACATAAAAGTTGCCCAGAAGATCGCCCTATTAGGAACATCTTATACTAAGAAATATGCTATCAATTAAATGACAATTCTCCTATAGGACCTAAGGACCATAGTTTGAACCCGGCTTTATCAGCTACAAACATAAAATACACAAATAATAATAATAATAATGCTTTTTGTTTGATACAAGATTTGTCAAGGAAGGAGGACAGAAAACAGATCTATACAGAATCCAAAGTTGCAGATCGGAGAGCCGAGTTCCAATTCCAATCAGGTTTGTTTTATTTATTTACGTGCAAATACCCATGGGAAATGTATGATTCCACGTCTTTTCCCCTCAGCTATGGGTTAATTAGTAGGACTTTTACTAGTAAATTATGATTATCTCACAAAGAAATTCTTATAATCTAAAAATATTTTCCGGTTTTGAATAACCTGCAAAAGGTTGACAAACCGTAAAACACAAATTAATCAATAAAAAAATAAAGACATAATATGACTGCTAGGTACATATAATGATGCCAGAGTAGCCGAGAAAGAAGAACAGAAAAATGAGATCTATACAGAAACCAAATGTATGAAAGCAAATGAATATGAAATTGCCAAACGGTAGAGATTGCGCCGATTGTAATCGAAGACTCAGGAAAAAGATCAGAGAATTTTGCTCTTTGGTTGAAACCATTAGATAATACCAGTGAGTTTTTATGTGTTGCAGAGGTCCTACAAAGACAACGTGAAGGTTTAAACCAAAAGAAATGCTGTCATGACAAAATTACTGCGGTTTTATATTGGAACATTTGTCAGAAATTAGGAATTGAGCGGGAAGATAGATTTTATAATCATAATCTGGAGAGAGTTTCCGTATATTTTGACTCCATGATTTAACTAATAGATAGATAGATAGATAGATAGATAGATAGATAGATAGGTATGATCAGAATGAGATAGATAGATAGATAGATATGATCAGAATGAGACAGATAAATGGATATGAACAGGTTGTGATATATATGAGCAGTTGAGATAGATAGATAGATATGATCAGAATGAGATAGATAGATAGATAGATAGATAGATAGATAGATAGATAGATAGATAGATATGATCAGAATGAGATAGATAAATGGATATGAACAGGTTGTGATATATATGAGCAGTTGAGATAGATAGATAGATAGATAGATAGATAGATAGATAGATAGATATGATCAGAATGAGATAGATAGATAGATAGATAGATAGCTTTTTGATAATTGCTAACGATAGAAGTGCTCAGACATTTGACATATAAATATATATCGAAAACCAGAAAAATTATCAAACAAAAACAAATTTAAAATACCCCTATCGAAGATCTTTCGTTCGTCTTTAACTAAACTTATATGAATGCATACACACACACATACACACACACACATATATATATATATATGTATAGAGAGAGAGAGAGAGAGACGTTACTATCCATAATGCACCATTTACCTGCATATATAGATAATCGAGTCCAAACACAGCACACACAGCCTGAAGTTTACGTTCAAACATGAAACAGACTGTCGTCGCTCGATGTTGTCCTCAGTGTCCGCTTTTATATTTACATACACTGTATCTCTGATTTTGAGCACTTTTACCCATAAATACAGCATACCTTAAAACTATTTCTCTCATATATCATATATATACGCGTGTGTGCGTCTGTGTGTGTGTGCGCGTGTGTATGTATTTCTTCTACATAATATATGCTCGCCTGCATACTCACGCACACATTCGATATGCAGGCACATCCACACACACATATTCTTAAGATATCTTCTTTAATTTTAATTTTATAAATATCATACATTCTTATGCTTAAACGCATCGATTTATTTTTAAACGAAGGAGGTTTTTATCGGCTAAATTTCTCCCAAATTAATACAATTAAATTATACAAATATTTCTTTTTTTTTTCTATTTTGTTTTAAACAATTTTTCCATCGCGTCATCGACATTTTATTGGATCACAAATTACTTCCCGCTGGATCGCATTGAAAGAAATGTTTAAATTGCAATTATTGGTAATTAATTAATAATTTGCAATTATTCGTTTTCTTGGGTTTTTTATTGCTTTATTTTCTAATGTTTCTTTGGGAAGCTTCGTATGTAAATAAATTATCAATCAAAGATCATTTTATGTGCAAAATGCGCACGATTTTTATGAAAAAGTGATGGACCCTTCGTTAAAAGATGCATTTGTATACACGCATGCATATACAGGGCGCGATGGATAAATTGTCGTCTAAATTACGAAAAAAAAAAAAAAAAAAAATGGGGGGCTGCAGTCCGGAGAGTTACGTGGCCAGATTTAATATGGTGATATGGTAGCGGAAATTGTCTGACAGCTTGTGTGGCATGGTGCAGAGACCTGTTGTCAGCAGCCACCCACTTGACCCAAAGTAGCACTACTTTCTCAAGACACTTGATGTAGGCATCCGTGATGGGTTTGAAGCCCTCACCAACAAATTCGAGAGTTCTTCTCTTATCAGACCGATCAGACTGAGCTTTCCGAGCTGCCGTACCTTCGTAATCACCATTGTACTCATCCAACTCTTTCCGAATCTATCTGCAGTGTCCACAGATTGACACACAAACACTTTGAAATGTTCGTATTTAGGCTTCCGGCGCGAATACCAAGCAGTACAGCCGTTTCCAAATTTCTGGCGAAGTGAATTACGTCATCGTGCTCTTTTTCTCACAGACGGTAACCAAGTGACCCTACTATACTGTACAGTTGAATAAAATCAAAAACTGCGCATGCGCGAAATTAAAAATATAAAATGGCGATAATTTATCAATCACACACTGTAGATAGTCCATTGGCAATAAAATACCTTGAAGAAATACTAATAATTAACGAAGGCAAAATAAATGCTCGTTAGACGCACTTTTTCGTATCACCAATATTCGTAAAGCCTAAACTTAATGTCTACAAGATACAAACATTAGTAAAAAACAATCACTTCCAATATCCGTCATTTTTATCATGCAATTATATACACTAATATACCTACTTAGGATGCCGTGGTGTAATAGGAGATACCTCCATCTGACCAGGCGTGTTTCACACGCTCGGCTACGAAACACGGCGAATCAGACCGTGGTTTCTCCTGCAAAGGGAGACGCAGGTTCGAATCCTGCCAGAGGGTACAATATATTTAATAAGTTTTCACTAATGTACACACCGAAATAAATATTGTTTAAAATAAAACAGATCGTCTACTCAAATAACGTATATACTAATAAGTATCCACTAAATAAGGTTTGAAGTCACGCACACACACACACACACACACACACACATAAGGTGCGATGGGTAAATTGTCGCCATTTTATATTTTTAATTTAGCGCATGCGCGTTGTTTGCTTTTGAATTTGTTGACTGC